TCTAATGGAATGTATGTTTCCCATCTGAAAATTTTGCCTTACCAGGTAGTTAAACTTGGGAAAATTCTTTAATTCATAACTCATTTAAGGTACACAAAATCATAGCACTCAAACATTCAATTAGCGGATGTTTTTTTGATTTTGTCGTTATTGAAAACGACAAAGAATGCATTGATCTCTTATAATCTAAAATTATCGGTTTTGTGTTCCATCTCGAATCCAATTTTGAAAATAAGATTAAAATTTTTATCAAAATTTGTTTTTTTTTTTTAATTTAGTGCTAAAAGAGTAAAATATGCTCTACTAAAAATAATGCAAAATTATGCGTTTAAGGGTAAAATATGCTAAAATATGAGCTTACAAATCGATTTCTAGACATGACGAATCTGAAATGGTTATAGTTGAAAATTGAATATTTATATTTCATTCAATTTATAATATAAAGAATTAAAAAAGTAGTAGGTTGGGTTAGGTTGATAGGAGGATGTATCTACATCAAATCTTCGTGGTTCTACCCACGATTTCATTATTCCTAGAGGCCTTATGGATTTCTCTCACCCATAATTTCCATTCTTCCCTCGTTGCGTCAAATGGTTTTGCGTTTGTCAGGTTAACTACCTTTCCTCTGGGAGAGTATTCGGTTAGAGCCTTTTTTACAATCCAATACGGTTTTATATTTAACTTTAACGTCTGATATCGCCCTAATTACCTTCTGGCTGTCGGTAAATATGTTAAGTCCTGTAGTCGCCATATTTATTATAATCCAATTTACGCATTCCTTTATTGCTCGTACTTCTGCCTGGAAGCTAGTGTTGTGATTAGATAAACGGTGGTATATTTCTGTTTCTGGGTCTTTAATATAAAAACCCAGGTCCACTTTGTCTCCCAATTTAAAGTCATCCGTGTAGCAACGGATTCCTACTGGTATTTGCTCTAAAGTTCCGCTTGACCAAGACATCCTATCTGGGATCAGCGTTTCAAAGTTTCCGACATATTTTGTCTCTGGTATGCGATCGAGCACGTCCGATGATTATGTATAGCCCTCCAATGTGTCCAGTATATAGTGATGACGTGTCCTATAACCGCTTTTGGCCAGTTCGACTAAAGTTATGAGCCGTTCGGCTGTAAGTGCCGCCTCATATCTTATATATGCATGTATGTTTCAATGGGTGGAATATCTAGCATTATTTCCAGAGCCTTGATTGATGTACTGCTTATGGCTCCACTTATACCCAAGCAGCATATACGCTGAACTACCTGTAGAAGAAATCCACCCGATTATTTAAGCATAACTTAGAATTGGTCTAATTACACATTTATAGAGCCAATGTGTCATAGTAGGACTAAGGCCCCATTTCATGCCTATGGTTCTTCTACATAGCGCCCAGCACGGATGTGCCTTTCCTTTATGTGGTACCTCAATCTTAATTTCTGGTCAAGGATTACACCTAAGTACTTAACTCTGTCTGTCACCGGTATCTTCTTGCCCAGGATTGGATTCTTTCCCCTTAGAAGTACATATTACGACATCGTCTGCATAGCAGACAGCTCTAAGTCCTTTCTTGGTTAAGTTCCTTAGGATGCAATTAGGGATGCCAAACGGGACTGGCTTTTACAAATCCCGGGATTCGGGATTTTGAAAATTGCAATCCCGGGATCCCGGGATATTTCGGGATCCCGGGATTTTTCGGGATTCCGGGATTTTTCGGTATTTCGGGATTTTACGGGATTTCGGGATTACATGAATTTAATTATTTTATATATGAAAATCTTCAAATCATCATATTTGTAAAGAAAATCTTCAAATCATCATATTTGTAAAGAAAATTGTTTAATTTTGTGGAAATTTAACAGACAGAAGATATATTTAAATTAAAACAATCCAATTAATTCCAATTTTTAAATAAAAACTTTCAGAATTGCATAATTTCTGAAACTTTTTAAATACATACTTACTTCCTAAATGTGGCCTCCGGTAGGTTAGTGGTTAGTGTTCTAGTCTGGTAGACCGGAGGTGGTGGGTTCGATTCCCACCTGAGGCACTGGTTAAGGAGCGCACAACAGGCCCGATAGAGGCCTAGGTGTATTTCTTCGGATTTGATGTATATACATCCTCCTTTCAAACTAACTAACTAACTACTTCCTAAATAAAAATAAATATGAAGAAATTAGACATAAGCACTTTTTAAAACCTCATACTGTTCCATGTGAACTAATAATTATAACAGATACCAATTCAATTATTCGAACATCAATTTAGAACCTCTTCTTTGAAAAATATTTGGAATTTTACTCAAAATACATATTAGTTTTGGAACATATTATTATATTCGTAGTATTAATTTAAAATTTTAGGTGCATTCAGAACAAGGTAATTTACCTTTACCGGTATCATTCAGATTTGTAGAAAGTTAGAAATGTAAAATCCTCTAGTATTGAAAAATAAAGTTTGTATTCGACTGTGCCGAAATTAAATACCCACCATCAAAATATTGTAATGTATTGATATTAATATCAGCATCAATGTGATTTTCAGAGGAGGTCCAATTAGGTTTTTTGTGTCAATTTTGGTCCAAATTTGCAGCCCAAATAGAATGAGTCTTCTAACTCGTGTTTTTAGCTTACAGACACAGAATGTGTATACTTTTTGGGTCGGTCTACGACCAACATTGCAATGTGCTAACAAGTAAAAAGTTATAGTTGGGCGAAGCCTACCATATAATACCCTACACCAGTTATAAAAATAAAATGTGATTTATTGTTCATAATAAAGCATCTAAGTTGAATTGTACCTTGCCTCAGATATAATTTAGCTTTTTTGTTGAATAAAATTGTGTACATTTAAGTCATATTTCGAAGGGGGCTTTGCATAGGGGCTAGGGTCAAATGAGGCCGCATCATCAAAAATACATCAGGGTCATGAAGGCTAGTATAGAACTTGGTTTTGCAGCTTTTTGTCGAGTTACGAGTATATTGAACATAATTATGAACTTAAAAACCCTATTTGGGGGGTTCAGTTGTATGGGGGCTAGGTCAAATATTGGACCGATGTTATCCATTTTCAATAGGATCCGTCTCTAGTACAATAGAAGATCATGCAAAATTTCATTGAATTATCTTCAAAATTGCTGTAGTTTGATTACAAGGTTTACACGGACAGACGGACGGACATAGCTAAATCGACTCAGAAAATGATTCTGAGCCGATTGGTATACTTTAAGGTATAGGACCAATATTATTGTGTGTAACAAACATCAGCACAAACCCAATATACCCTCCCCACTAAAGTGGTGTAAGGTATAAAAACGAAGTGAATAAATAAATTTATATGTGCTATGTGTATGGACTCATACCACTTTAAAAAATAAAAGGTTCAAATATGTATAAAATTAGCTCTGCGGAATTTTGTTTTGCATGAGTCAAAAATAAAATAAGATCGTAATTTTCAAATTAATGAAAATTATGGCTCAAAAAAAGAAAATAAAAACAGTTTTTTGAAACAAATCCTAATCCCGAAAAAATCCCGGGATTTATTTTCCAAATCCCGGGATTCGGGATTTGCCAATCCCGAAAAATCCCGGGATTTTCGGGATCGGGATTTCGGGATTGGCATCCCTAGATGCAATTTATCGAGGTTACCCAGGTTAAAGGGGACAAAATGCCCACCTGTGGTGTACCGCGAAATACCCTTTTCCTGATAGCTATATCGTACATCTCGCAGCTTATCCATCTGTTCCTTAGCATGTAGTTGATCCAGTTACGGAGCACCCGGTCAACATAAAACTGGCCTAAGGATTGGATAAAATTATCAGTGTGTACGTTATTGAAGGCGCCTTCGATGTCAATACATACCGCCAGTGTATACAGTTTTCTTTCGAAGGATTCACCTACATATATAGGATTCACTACATATATTGTTACATTTTAGTTTGATAATTCTAGTTTTTAAATTTTTTAAATAATTTTTAATCTTGTAAATCTTTAAATTTCATTACTTTTATTAAAAATTATCCTATGCCGATTTATGGTGGGTATTTTGTGGGTTACAAACATCAGTGCAAACCCCACTAAAGTATTGTAGGGTATAAAAACTATTTTATATTTATGTACATATTTATCTTTTTGTGGTAAAAATTGTGCTTTTATTTTGTTTAATATTCAACACTGTTCACTTCTTTGTTTGAAAAAAAAATACAACTTTAAAATTGGGTAACCCTGATGAGTGTGAATAAGAAATGTAATCAACCACAATTTTTGCCTTCAGTCAATTTTAGTTGCGTTCTGTTTTCTAATAAAAATAAAGAATATCTAAAAGGTAATTTATAAATAAAAGTAGAAATACACAGTAGAATTACAGTTTTTAGTTGTGCACACATATTTATTGCCGAACCAACAAAACATGAATCAACAAGGAATTACTAAAAAGATACCAATTCCCAAAGATTCCAACAGAGTCGATAATTTAAATGGTAAACAATTTATTTTAAATATTTTAAAACAAAAACCTTTAACATGATTAAAAATTATATTAAAATTATGAAATTATTTATAAACATAGCTGTAAAATTACGATTAATAATCAATTAAATTATTTTTCAAAAATAATCGTAATGATTATTTAATTTTCTGGTATAAAATGTCTGATTATTAATTGATTACGATTAAAATTGATCTAAAAATAATCAGGATTAATTTAAATTAATGAAAATAATCAAAAATAATTAAAATTAATCAAATAATTAATTTGATTATTTTCAAGGATTAATTTTGATTAATTTCAATATATTTAGTATAATTTCCTACCTTTTTAAATTAAGCGTAATGGAAAACTTTTTTTCAAGTAATGACATTATTCAATTATATGATGTTTTATTGAAAACAATAAATTTATTAAGTTTATTTCTATTGAAAATCCTGATCTCAGTACATGTTATAAAAAAAAATTACTGCAATTTTTTCGAAATGGGTGTCAAAAAATCCGTAATTTTTAGCTGATTACGGGAAAAATAATTAAATTTTTCTTAGAGTTTTTTTTTTTTGGGGAGGAAATTATACTAATATATGGAAATATGAAAATAATCAACTAATTTTTTGATTAATTTTGATTATTTTTGATTATTTTCATTAATTTCATTTAATTATTTTTAGATTATTTTTAATCGTAATCAATAATTAATTTAAAAAATTGAAAATATTCGTTAATTAATCATTAATTTTACTTGTTTAATAAAAAATTCTAATTAATAATGATAACGATTATTAATAATTATTTTCCAGCTATGTATGTTTATAAATACAATGTGAACAAAATGTCTTTATGGGTAGAGATAAGAGGGTAATTCCCTTTTTAGCTTTTTAAAAAATCAATTATATTATTTGAACACAGTTGAATAGTTGATTTTTTTTATTCTACATGTTGTGTTGTACTGTCTAATGATATTTATTTTACTCATAGTGTTGCCAGTCTAATCATCGAAAAAGAATAAATTTTTCCGGGGTTTTCTGATAAAGATAATCTACATTCTTTTTTTAAACCTAGTTTAACCTTATTTTTGTGCTTTTCAGTAATCAGTTACGTTAATTATTATCTTAGTTTAACTAAGTGTTATTTGCCAATTAAACCTTAGTTATAAGTGAGAAAACATAATCAACAAAAACAATAAAATAATCAATTCGGAAGAAGAAAAACAGCTGTTCATTGTATATGTTTTTGACAGAAAGTTGGCAATACTAACAAATGAAACTGGTTTTAATTCATTACTGAAAACACAATCAATCATAGGTTAAATTTCGCCTAAATTTGCTCCTATTTTAATTTAAACAGAAATTTAAGCTACGGTTAACTGAGTAGCAAGAAACCCACCCTAAGTATGCTATAATACTTTCATTATTTTGAATGATTTATCCCCATAAAATAAACTTACTCAGATTAATTTTTGTACTACATATTTTGATAGAATAGATTTTAATCTCAATAGAGTTTGTCACACTTGATTTTAATTCAATTTTGTTAGAATTTGATATGCATATTTTTAATTATATTTTAAATCAATATTAATTTATAAAATTCAAATATTTACAGAGGTTCTTAATGACTTCGTCGAGTTGTCGAAAATATCACAAAAATTGAAAGTAAAATACACAAATTTAGAAGAAGAGCTTCAGGACCACCTTAATATAATATCGTTATTAGAGAACGATAAAGCTACATTTGAAAGTCAATTAAAAGTAACCCAAAAAAAATTAAATGATACTAAATTAAATAATAATCGTCTTTTGGAAGAAAACTCAAAAATACCGATATTAAATGAAAAAATTACAAACTTAGAATGTCAATTGAAAGCTATCTCAAAGAACCTTCAAGAAAATACCACTAAATATACCAATCAGTTAAAAGCGGCTAATGCAGAAAAAGCTGCATTAAATGATAAACTAAAACAGATATCTACAGAGCTAGATTCAAAAAATTTAGCTTGTGCTAAATTATCTGAAGAAAATTCGAAAATTTCGAACTTAAATGCAGAGATTTCAAAACTAAAAAAACAATTTCATCAAACATCTTTGGAAAATGAGTTAATTAAAGAAAAATTCGAAAAACTTACAGCAGAAAATGCAACATTAGTACTATTGAAACAAACGTCGCTGGAATTGGAGAACGAAATTTCAAAATGTACTCAGCTATCGTTAGAGAATGTGGAACTAAAAAATAATTATGAAAAACTTACAGCTGAAAACTCAACATTAAGAGTAAAACAAGACGATATTTATAAAACAACATTGATGCTAAATCAGAATGTCAATACACTGGAACAAAAACTTAAACATGTAACATTACAGTTAGAAAAAGAAATTGCGACAGGTATTCAATTAAACGCGGAGAATCAAAAACTAAAATCTTTAAGCCCAGCTACAAGATCAGAATCAGGACAAATAGAGGAGAATATGAAAATCCAGCAACTTGAAGAAAAGCTTAAGCAGTTGTCAGCTGAGCTTGAAAAAGAAGTTTCTAAAAATAGCGCACTTGGAGAATATAACAAGCAGTTGGATCGACTTATAAGTGGATTGAAATCAAAAGCTAAATCAGAAACTGTTTCTACAAAATCAGTGGAAAAATTTGAAAAAACCACAGGATCAATTGAAGTTTAACAGCAATTTTAAAGTTCTCATTAGAGATGTAGCCTACCGATCAAATACTCAATCCATTAGAAAAAACTATAATAGATTTGGCTTCCAAAATGTCTATAGGTGGTAAATCGGGATGATATAACCCAAGTACGTTCATGGAGCGTAAAGGCTTGAGCGAGTATTCTAATAAAGTTTTCATTGTTAGTTGATTTCAAGACCTCTGAAATAAAAACAAATTTATTTCCAATCGCAGTAAATTGAAATTAATACTTCTACTAAGCACATTCAGATAAAAGATTTTTTTGAAAATGAAGTATATTCATTATTATTTTATGCCAATGAACATCTTCAACCTAATGGATTTCATAGAATTTGGTGCAAAGACAATCAAGTGTTTGCCAAAAAAAATGATTCTGATACGGAAATAGAATTACGTCCCGAAATCAAGTCGATGTACTTGCAAATGCCAAATTGAAGAGCTTAAGTATTTGTTAAAAGTAATCAAAACGTGTTGCATTTTAGGAAAACAGTAATTAAATAAACGAACAATTTTGTTAATTAAGGACGTGTATGTAGATAAATTTTTACGAATTTTTAATATATAAAATAAAATAATTAAGTTACAAATGTCTAAATTTAACCATTTTAAAATAAATATCTATGTAACTATTTTACAAAATATTTTTTATCCAATCATGAGTTTTTATCTAAACATATTCTTGTGAAGCTTTAAACGAAAACAATAGGGGCTTTTTTAATCACTGGATTTATTTTATTCAAGAAAAAAAAAACTATCTTTGGAAGCGGAATTTAGTTTGGACATCATTATCTGAAAATAACACTCTGTAAGCTAATATAAGGTCAAAGAAAAATTAATTTTAGTGCAAACATGGCGGTTCTGCAGCTAAAAGAAGTAAATCTAATTGGATTTATTAAATCCAAAAAAATAGTTAGATTTAGCTAATTTCGATATGACAATGCTTTGTATTCATAGAACAAAACCAAATAATTTTAAAATAAACTAATTTGTATTATTTTTCTATTCACCAATAGATGGCAAATATTTTTTAAAATGTGTAAAAATAGAAAATAAACAAAATTCCTGTAACTAAAATATTGCACACATGATATGTTAGTGCAAATACCAATTTTGCAAAAAATTGTTACAAATTTTATGGAAAATTTATGATTTTAATATTAAGTTTTGAAATAACTCCATCTGTTGGTCGCTGCTGACATTATAATTTGAAATTTGTTTAGCCTCGATTAAAACATTTTGCCTTATATCCACCTGGCGTACAGTAACAGAACTAAAATTTAGATTTAATAAATCCAATTGTTTAAAAATGCTGCTATTTCAAAAACCTTGAAAAAATCTTAAAGAATTATGGGAAAATGAAACCAGATTCAGATAGAAATGGGTAATCAGTTTTTCGTAAAAACATGACTTTGTTTTAACTTTTAACGGGCTGCGGGTAGTCACCTTGAGTCTTCGGGCACGGTGCATAGGCTTAAGCATCCTAAGGATGTGAACTAAGAACTACCCTCCCGATACCTCACAGCGTCTGTCCGGCTGTGGGGTAATGACCATATTCGGTAGCCTAGCGATCACGACCTCAAATTGGTAGCGTCTGTTCCCTTAGTTAGGGCGGCTACCTAATCCCCCCCTTCTTTTTTGATGTCGGTCCGGGACTGTGGTTTGGGTTACCTAGGCAACATACCTTTCAAGCGTCTGTTCCTTATGTTAAGGGCGGCTAGAAGGTACAATCTGGTTCTGTCAGTCTGAATGTTTTGGTGGTAACAAAATCCAGGGTGCGTCTGACTCATATTGAGCGGCATCCTGGTCTGCGTCTGACTCCAGAGAGCGGCAGTGGTCTTCTTTCACACCTGTGGTAGAGGTATAAACTAACAAAACAACAACCCCCCTCCCCCAAGAAATGTCAGAATATAAAGACGTCCCTATGTCCTTGCTGCGTAAACATACCTACCACATACAGAAGTATGAGGCCATGCTAAATACTACTGTTGTGGAGGTCAGCCAGCCACGACTAAGACAGAACCAAACCAGAGCAGGCATGGGACCACATCTAAACATGTGCCCCATGCCAGCACTAGACCGAACACGGTCAACCGTCTCGGAGAATCCTAACGTACAGCCATCTTCATCAAAGAAGGCCACGTCGGGACCAAAGAGGTGATGACCAATGCGGCAGGACAAAGTCTGCTAGCACAACACCCAAGGGACTGTCTGCATCTTCCTCTTCTCGAGGTACAGCGACGGTCACCAAAGGTCCAGCAAGCAGGCCTAGTATAAAGCGGCAAAGGTCAGGTGAAACGCAGGTGTCTGAGGGTATGCGGTTGAAGCCATCAACTAGCTTAACATCAGCACCTGAGCTGCAAATAGCCATTATAGACCGTTGTCAATCCCGATGGGAAAAATGACTACGGACAGATGGCTACTTCAGGAGGAGAAGATCTTGCGGGCACTAGTTGACGAACTCGCACGCAGTGAGGATGACTCCTTTACTGCGTTCGACGTTGCCAAATGGTCAAAGGGTGTCAAAATCATCGGATATGGTAATGAGAAAGCCCTAGGCTTTCTCAAAAAACTGCATCCGTGGAGTTGGCGAACCCTGGCCCAACGCGAAGATTGAAATCGTCCCCATTGGACCAAGTACCTTTCGTACGACTGTTTTACAGCTGCTACATTTTTCTTCGCGTGTTGGTGTGGCTACAATAACATCGTCCAGTGCCCCGTTCTGTAATTCTCGCATCGAGAAAAACTGTCGAAAAATTCATGATCATCTTGTGTAAAACAGGGTGAATACATGAAATTTAAACATTTCTTATTCAATTTTAATGTGTACAGTTTAAAAATAATCAGAGTCACACTGTTAAAAACAGGAAGACTATTATAATTTTAAGTTTTTTTCTCGATTCGAGAAAAACACAGAAACGTCAGATAAGGAAAAACGCCTTTAATACCGGAAATAATTGATTCCATACACTGTTGAAAAAGCACCAGGAGCCGATCTCACACCTGGGGCAAGCCGATTAAAAGTGTACAAGCCACGATAAGTGTTAATAACTAGTAGTTTATTTTGTTATCATCGTCGACTTCTATTTACTTGTAGGCATTATTTAAATCAATTATTGAAAACATTGAACAGTTGTTAGGTTAGGTTGATAGTAGGATGTATACTACATCAAATCTGAAGAAATACACCTAGGCCGCTATCGGGCCTGTTGTGTGCTCCAATTCATAAAAAAAAAAAAAATTTCACTGAATGTATTATTTTTCCATGTTCAGAAACTCAGTTTCCTGGACGTAATTCCTAAGAATTTTCCAGTCAGTGTTAGTTAGGAATGTTATTTCCGGAATAACATCACTTCCAAGATACTTGGATCTAACTTCGACGAATGCCTGACAGTGGCAAAGAAAGTGCTCCAGAGTTTCACTGTCCTCTCCATATGCTCTACATTCGTCTGAATCCGCACGTCCAATTTTGTATAGATGTGCACGTAATCCTGTGTGTCCACTCAGAATACGTACCATCATACTAACCCCAGACTTGCTCATTTGAGGAGATTCTCGTCTTGCTCTCATCAGGGTCACCCCATAGAATTTTTGTGGTTCAACCCACCCTTTCATTATTCCAAGAGGCCTTATGAAATTCTCTCATCCATATTTTTAATTGAGCTTTTGTTGCTTCGAATGGTTTTGCGTTTGTCAGGTTAACTGCATCGAGCTCCCTTCCCTTTAAAGCTATTACATTCGCCCTTTCGTTGCCGACTACTCCCGAGTGGCCTGGTACCCATATGATGTAAACCTTACCTCTGGGAGAGTATTCAGTTAAAACTTCTTACAATCCAATACGGTCTTAGATTTAATTCTATCACCTGATATCGACCTAATTGCCTTCTGGCTGTCGGTAAATATATTAAGACTTGTGGGCGCAATATTTATTCTAATCCAATTTACACATTCCGTTATTGCTCGGACTTCTGCTGGAAACTTGTGTTAATGATTAGGTAAACGGTGGGTATATTTCTGTTTCTGGGTCTTCAATATAGAACTCCAGGCCCCCTTTGTCCCCTAATTTAGAGCCATCTGTGTAGCAACGGATTCCTACTGGTTTTTGCTTCAATGTTCCGCTTGACCAAGACATTCTATCTGGGATTAGCGTTTCAAAGTTACCGACATATTCTGTGTCTGGTATGCGATCAGGCACATCCGATTAATGTGTATAACCTTCCAATGTGTCCAGTATACATTGATGACGTGTCCTATAACCGTTTTTGGCCAGTTCGCCTAAAGTAAAGAGCCGTTCGGCTGTAAGAGCCGCCTCATATCTTATATATGTTTCAATGGGTGGAATATCTAGCAACGTTTCCAGAGCCTTGGTTGAAGTAGTACACATGGCAACCACTTATACCCAAGCAGCATGTACGCTGAACTCCCTGTAGTAGTTTGATATTACACTTTTTGTCCAAAGCAGTCCACCAGATTATTGAAGCATAAGCTAGAATTGGTCTAATTACACTTTTATAAAGCCAATTTGTCATAGTAGGACTAAGACCCATATCGCCCAGCACCGATGTGCCTTGTTGATCCTATCCTCTATGTGGTGTCTCCATTTTAATTTCCAGTCAATTATTACACCTAAGTACTTTGTCTGTCACCGTTATCTTCTTGCCCAGGAAGCAAGGTTCAGTATACGTAGAAATTTTTGTCTTTCTTGTGAAAAGACAGATTTCCGTCTTCGCCGGGTTAACATTAAGGCCTCTCGGTTGCCCAGCCCAGCTCAAGGCCGTATTCAGAGCCTCCTCAGCTCTTCTACACAAGTAATTTGGATCCTTTCCCTTTAAAAGTATTACGACATCGTCTGCATAGCAGACAGGTCTAAGTCCTTTCTCGGTTAGGGTCCTTAGGAGGCTATTAATCGTGGTAACCCAGAGTAAAGGTGACAAAATGCCACCCTCTGGTATACCGCGAAATACCTTTTTCCTTATAGTTATAT